CAATTTTAATGTTTTGATCTTTGGTTGGCCTCACAGGTCCTCTGAATTCATTGCTGTAATTTTGTTCTGTTCTGAATTCTGTCGATTGAGTTCTAGGTGGTGTTGCCAAGTCTGTCAATCTCTGGTTGTTGTCTGTTCTTGCTGGTTTTCATTCCAAATAACACCCTTTAAGATGTTTTGAAGTGCTGGATTGGCTTTGACAAAATCTCTTAGCTTCTGTTTATCCTGGAATGTTTTGATTACACCATTGTATTTGACTGACAGTTTTGCTGGACAGACAATTCTGGGTTGGCAGTTTTTTTCTTTAAGGGTTTTATATATGTCTCCCCATTGCCTTCTTGCCTGCATGGTTTCTGCTGAGAAGTCAGAGCTTAACCTGATTTGCTTGACTTTGTAGGTAACACTTCTCTTTTCCCCGGTTGTTTTTAGGATTCTGTCCTTATCTTTGATTTTGGAGAGCCTGATTATGATATGTCTAGGTGATTTTCTTTTGAGGTCTATCCTTCCTAGGGTTCGTTCAGCTTCTTGAATGTTTATCTTCTCATCCTTCAAGATGTTAGGAAAATTTTCTCCCAGAACCTCTTCAACTATCGCTTCTGTGATTCTTCCTGTTCTGGAATGCCAATAATGCTTAAGTTATTCCTCTTCATGTTATTCAGCATGAATCTTAGACTCCCTTCAGATTTTTTATTCCTTTTTTTCTGCTTGCTCTTCTATCTTAGCAGTATTGAGAGATTTGTCTTCCAGCTGTGGTTCTGGCTTCTATCTCTTCCATTCTACTCCTTTGCCCTTTCAGTGTATTGTTCATTTCTGATATTTTATTATTAATCATCTTGACTTCTTTTTGCAGGTTTTGGATTGTTTCCAATGCCATATCTATCTTGTTAGATTGCTCCTGTAGCACTTTCCTGATTTCTTCCTCATTTTCCTCCATCCCTTTTTGAAGCATTTGAATTTATTTCCATATCATTCTACTGAATTCCTTCTCAGGCAGATCCAGAGCCTGCTCTTCTACTGGAAAGTCTGTGTCTGCTTCCATCTCATTTGTCTGTTACTCTTTTCTGGTTTTGGACATGTGTTGAGATCTTTAATTGTGTTTTCTTGGACATTTTCCGCAGTCATGTGGGTTTTTAATGCTTAAATGGATGTATGTTGCTTTGTTGTTACGTTTGTTGAGCATCTCCTGGTGGAAATGATCTGGAGATAGGCTTCCCTTTTTACGTGTAATGCCTAGCAGCTGATTTTGGCTCTTGTATGCTTGTAGCTTGGCTATATGGGCACGGTTGCTGTCTCTTTTTGGGTAAGTTAGGGGGAGAAAGCTTCAACCCCTGGGAGAAGAGTGAGGTCAAAAGGACCAAAGACAGAAACAATGTAAAAGTTGAGACAGAAACCACCAATCAAACACAAAAATAAAATTGTGATTGACACTGTCCACTAGCCTTTGCTATGCAGGTAGGGATAAAGGTAATCTTTGAGGCTGGGTCCCAGAGTCAAGCTATCATAAGAAGTAGCCTGTGGATTTCCTCTCTGTGCCATTGGAAGACTGTGGGTGCAATGCTGGACCCTTTTGGGGGTGTGCTCCCACCTACCAGAAGGCGTCTGAGTTGGGCAGTGAAAGCGCAATAGGAGTGAAGAGGAAAGACATGTGAAAAATAAAAAATGAAAGATGGAAAATCGGTCACAGCTCTCCCTCTAGATGCAAAGCTCCACGGTTTCTAGTGCTGGGTCACTGCCTCTGCTTGGCTATGATCCCACCCTTGAGATGACCTTTGAAATTTTCTGTTCAGCTCTTGTACATCCTCGTTTCTTCCATTTGCTTTAGCATCTCTACACTGGACAGCAATTTTCAGTGTCTCTTCTGATCACTGCAATGCACAAGCCACCATAGTATGACAAACTGACAGACAAGTGGCGGTATACTATATGAAGACTCCTCATACATATATACCAGCCCACGTATTTTTTTGGTTATTTTTGCTTTTGTCTCAGAATGATATATGCCATACAACCCGTTTTTCTTGTATACTTTCTAGTGACATTACTTAGCTTTTTCAAACTATGTATACTTCACCCTCATTTGGTGTCAACTTTCATGTGTCATCAAAAATAACAAGCAGCATAGTGGTTACGAATTGGGCTGCAAACCACAGGTCAGCAGTTCGAAACTACCAGCTGTTCCGCAGGAGAAAGATGATGCGTTCTGCTCCCGTAAAGATTTACAGCTTCGGAAATCCTGTACAGGGTCACTATGAGTCGGAACCGACTCCACGGCACACAGCCACCCACCACCACAACCTAGAAAGGGGTGCACAGTAGCGCCATACGATAAGCACAATACTGTGAACTGACTACAAGGTCCACAGTTCAAGCCTGCCAGCTGCTCCACGGGAGAAAGATGAGGCTGTCTGCACCCTCAAACGTTTAAAGCCTTGGAAACACTACATAGGTCGCTGTGAGTCAAAACTGACCTGACAGCACTTAACAACTATCTAGAATTATATAGAAAAGTGAATTGCCCTCTCTTCTCCCATCCCTGGTATCTACTAATAAAAATCAGTTTCTACATATTTACTTGTTCATGTAATTTCATAAAAGACCATATAAATATTTAGGGTTCTTTTTGTGATTGACTTATTTTGTTCAATGTAATGCCCGCCAAAGGTTCATCCTTGTTCCATTATTTTGTTGTTGTAGTGCTGTCGAGTCAGTTCCGACCCATAGCAACCCTGCATAGGATTTCCGAGGAGTGACTGGTGAGCTTGAACTGCCGACTTTGCAGTCTAGTGCATTAACCCACACTTATTTTCCTTTATCACTGAATAGCATTACATTGTGTCTGTGTACTAAATTTTACTTATCTATTCGTCCTAAGATGATAAACATTTAGGTTGTTTCCATCTTTTTGTCATTGTGCTATGATCAACATAGGTGTTCATATATCTGTTTATGGCACTACTACTAGATCCCTGGAGTCCTGGTGTGGTGCCATGGGTTAATGTGCTGGACTGCAAGGTCGGTCTGAACCTCAAGGTTGGCAGTTCAAGCTCACCAGCTGCTCCTTGAAAATCCTATACAGATCATTATGAGTTGGAACTGACCTGACAGCACTTAACATTAATAACATGGCAGCTTTATCTCTAGATATTTGAGAAACTGCCAGGCTGTGTTTTCACAAAGGGCTTTACCAGTTTGTATTTTTATCAATAATGAACAAGACTTTCAATTTCTCCATATCATCTCTAACACTTGTTATTTTCTGTGTGTGTGGTTTTTTGTGTGTGTTGTTCTTTTAAATCTTGGTCATTCCAGCGGAAGATGAATAGTAACTCATTATGGCATTGATTTCTGTTTCCCTGATGGATAATGGCATTGAGCATCTTTCTCATCATTTCGTGTGTCAATGGCATTTGAATATCCTCTTTGGGGTTGTTCTCTGCCCAGTTTTTGGTTGGTTTCTTGATTTTTTGTTAAATTATAGGTTTTACATACATTAGATTTTTACCAGTTATCTTACTCCCCTCTCCCCTACACCAAATTTCCCAGTCTACAGGTTTGGCTGCTTTTTATAATTATCATTTTTAAAACTTTTTATTGTAAATTGAGTGAAGATACAGAGCAGATGATACGTTTGACATTCAGCAAATTGTATACTTAGCTTCACTACATGGTTGCAATCCCCTCCAAGTATCAACAGTTAACATTATTTACCTCTATTCACACTTATAGCTACTGCATTCCTCCCCATGTCTCCCGATCTACTAACATCCCTCTTGTGTATTGCCTGCCCTGTCATCCATATTAACACATTTACCCTCTAGCCCATGAAAAATTTTCCATCCCCCACCCCTTAGCCATCACAGAAAGTTTCTTTTATCAAGAAAACTTTAACTTTTTACAACATTGGTCTCATAATAATGTTTGTCCTTTTGTTATTGACTGATTTCACTCAGCATAATGTCCTCCAGTTTCAACCATGTTGTAAGGTGTTTCATAGATGATTCTTCACTGTTTTGTAGTATTCCACTCTGTGTGTATATGTATATATGTATCCAAAGTTTGTTTAACCATTCTTATGTTGATGGGCATTTAGGCTGAGTCTGAACTGACTCAATGGCACTTGACAACAACAAGGAGAAGGGTAATAAAAAAATAAAATTATATTAAAATGATTATCAACTGAGACAGGAGTGGTACTGGAGAGTGTGACGGTATCATTATTGAGGGGAAGGTGAATGTTGAGCATCAGTAATAGCAACAAGGGAGGTGGGTGATGAAACCTGACGTTAGATTTACAGCTGACTGCGGCATTTAGGGAGGATGGACATACTGAGTAACATGCAAATCTACAGATTTACCATAATAGTTTTCCTCAAGATTAGGTTATATTTGCTTAACTGTTAGAGACAATTATTAGGGAAAGGTTGCAGTTGAATTTTAAGTGAGCTAAAATTTCCTTTCACCATTAGAAGCTAAATAAATCTTTTATTTTAAAGAGGAAAGTATGTATATTGCTTTGCTATATTAATGATCAATATAGTTTATAAAGTAATGATTTTTAAACAAACTATTGTAGAAGAAACAAATCATGAAAAGGCTTTCTCAAAAGAAAACATTCTACTGAGGAAAACAGGGTAAATATACTAGTCACACTAACAAAAATGAATAATTACTTGGAGGCTAAGGGGATGGCCCAGGATATTTAAGACGTGCTTGTTATGATAGATGAATAGAGAGAAAAGGTCCTTTTGGAAAAAGTTGGAAGTAGACTGGCAATTCATTTCATGTGACTGCCCTGTGTCAAGGACTGTGGCTGTCACTGGCTGTGTCCAACATATGCTAAATAATTTTAAAAAAGGGAGAGAAAAGAAATAAACGTCACCTCCCTACTATCTTGCTCCTAATTGTTGTTGTTGTTACGTGCAGTCGAGTCGGTTGCTCCTAATAAGCCTCAGATAAAGTCATTCAGCACATAACCAAGAGCTAATAATATACATGCTTACCTGGATATGGCACTCTGCCCTTCGTTACTAGTTCTGTCTGCAGAATTCCAAATGACCATACATCAGACTTTATTGTAAATCGACCATACAATGCAGCCTCAGGAGCTGTCCATTTGATTGGAAATTTTGCACCTAAAACAATATTGAAAATCATGTTTACGTAAATGACTTAAAAACAAAACAAAAAATTCTCCTAAAATCTATTTATGCAAATATAGGATGTGTGTGTCAGTGTCAAATTCTTCAAAAGTAGAAGTCACATGAGGAAACCTTCTTTAATTTTAACGTTGTTTTTGTTAAGTGCTGTTGAGTCGGTTGCAACTCATAGCGACCCTGTATAGGGTTTCCAAAGAGCAGCTGGTGAGCTTGAACTGCCAACCTTGCAGTTCAAACGGCTTTGCAGTCTGGTGCATTAACCCACAGCACCACACTAGCTAGTATTAAAATAAAATAAATCATATTTCTTTCTGACAAGATGTTGTTATGGTTAAGTACTGTAGAGTTGGTTCTGCCTCATAGTGACCCTATGCACAACAAAAGGAAACACTGCTGGCCCTGCACCATCCTCACCTAGTCAATGTTATAATAAAAGAGAGGTGGTGGTGAGGACAGAAAATCATTCAAGGAAAAGAGGGAGAGGCTATTGTAAGCAGCAGCCAAATATGGACCTGTAACTTTTTTAAAGTATAGTCTGGCAGCTATGTGCTGGTTGATGACGGGATTATTAAATTGAGCTCCAATGTCTACTGGTTTTTTACTATCTTCTTTTCTTTATTTTTATTCTTCTGAAAAATTACATTTTATTATTACTTTTAAAATTTAATTTGTGTTAATCTACCCAATTAGTTAGTGTATACTTCTACGTGCAAGGCATTATGCTGATCATTAAACAATGCCTACATGAAGTTTTTAATACACTTACAATGGAAATAATATTATAGGCATCGTACATATACACATATTTGTTGTTGTTAAGTGCTAGCAAGTTGGTTCTGACCCATAGCAACCATGTATAAGGTTTCCGAGGAGCGGCTGGTGAGTTTGAATCACTAACATTGTAGTTCAAACAACCTTGCAGTCCAGCATATTAACCCACAGTGCCACACCAGGATTCCCTACACATGTATAGATAACTTCAAATATGCAAGTACTTTAAAGTGGAGATCATTAGATGTTTACACAAACAGAAGATTAATTTTCACTGGCGTAATGTTTCATTAGAAAAAAGGTTTTTCATTAGGGGGAAGTAAAAAAAAAAAAAAAGGCAGTTAATTCAAGCCTTAAAGAGTAGTTAGAATTTTTATTGGTGAAGATCATAGAAAAACAGGAAGCCATTCCAGCTGGAGGAAATTACACAAAGGTGCAGAGGTTGAAAAGAAATAAGTGTCTGTCTAAGGTAGGGCTTTCTCAACCCTGGCACTACTTGACAATCTGGGTCAGAGAATTCTTTGTTCTATGGGTTATTCTGAATATTTCACACTATCCTTGGCATACACCCACTAGGTGCTAGTAGCAGTCTCCAAGTTATGATGACCCAAAAGATCTCCAGATATTGTTAAAAGGCTCCTAGAAGGTAATACTGCCCTTGGTTGAGAAAGTAGTTTATGTACCAATGTAATCAGTGACAAAAAGCCACCAGTCTACTACAAAAATAAGAAAAAGGATCAGTGTTAATTCATGACGCAAAATTATTAGTATTTTTGTTGTTAAGTGCCATTGAGTCGTTTCTGACTCATAGTGACCCTGTATAGGACTTCCCAGGAGCAGTTGGTGAGCTTGAATTGCCAGCTTTGTAGTTCAAACTGACCTTGCAGTCCAGTGCATTAACCCACAGCGTCACACCAGGACTCCTATTAGTATTTAGGTATGTCCTTTTAGCTAAGGTCCATCCTACTTGTGTGGTGTAAAATATTAGTTTTCTTCTTTGAAATAATGACAATGGAAGACAGCTGCCTTTCTTCGGGTGGTAGTGGTATGTCTACTAAATGAACCGACACTAACCTTCGCATCGGTCTTACTATATTGCACTGAAATTACTTGTTTACAAATCCGTCAGGGAGCTCTTGTATAACAGAAACCATGCCTTCTCATAACTTCACTAAGACCTAGCAACTGCAGGGATACAAATGGTTATTAAAGGTAAGGTACGACTACAGTAGAAAACGCTAAAAGCTAAGGCAGCTCTTTTGTAGGCATGGAGGGTAACTGAGGGTTTCAAGCAGGATGGACAACTCATGTGGTGAATTACATTGGACCTTATTGATTCTCTGCTTGTTAAAGTTACCGTTTTTCTTCAAAGCCCTACTTTAGAACTATTACCTCTGTGAAGCATTTTTGCTTCTTTTTGCTTTCTCAAAGTACTTTTGATCTACTCTTGAGACATCAATCACACAATGCTTTAAAATGATCTTTATTGTTATCTACAGATACATCTACCTTGCCTATTAAAATGTAAGCTCTTTTGGGGGCAGGTACTCTGTTAACTCACCTCTGTAGTCTTCTCGTTCTAGCAACTTAGCATATATCAACTTTAAATAGTAATTGTAGCTAATACTTGCTGATGATCTCCTATGTGCCAGGAAGGTACTGTTAGGCTCTTTATATTCATTATTGACTTAAAGTTTTACAACAATCTTCAAAAATAGATATTATTTAGACTTTATAGGTGAGGAGACTGAGGCTGAGTCAGAAAGGTTAGATAATCTGGTTGAGATCTCTTGGCTAATAATAGATGGATTGGAATTCAAAAGTCCATCCATACTCTTTCCATATGTAATGCCACCTCTCAGAAATTCTGTTAAATGTGCACTGAATAGGTGTTTACAGACAGACCAAACGGAAGAACCAACCTGTGTTAATTTCTACAAGGCCCCTTCATTCTTCACAGTACCAATGTTTTTATTTTCCACAATTATAACAAAATAATAAAAACATACAAATCTGGACTAGAAATGATTTCTTGTCTTTATAAAATTGTAAGCATTTCCTAATATGTTAACTTTAAACACACCTTTTCTGGTTCTTAGTGTAGTAAATCTGGGTAATCTGGGTGGTTCATTATGAGAAGAATTTTAGAATGTCTGTTTGTTGGCTCTGGTAGTGTAGTGGTTACAAATCAGGCTGCTAACCAAGGTCAGCAGTTTGAAACTACCAGCTTTTCCACAGGATAAAGATGAGGCTTTCTGCTCCTGTAAAGATTTACAACCTCAGAAACCCTACTCAGGGTCACTATGAGTTGGAACCGACTTCACAGCATACCACCACCACCACCACCATTTACTGGAATGCCAAGTGAAGTATAAGGAGGAGTGCAAGGACTTGCTAAACTTATGATGCAAATTCTTCCTTGGCGGGGAATAACTATTAAAAAGTCATGGTATTATTTACTGTATATAATTTTATGAATGAAATCATTGTTTTATGAGTCTTCTGTGGGAACCCAGAACTCTTCTTAGTCTATAAAACCCTGTATGTACACAACAGTGTAAAGAAGAAAACCCACAGAACATTAGGCTATAAGCATTTACTACAAAGTTAACTTTACCTTGTCTTGCAGTATATTCATTGTCTTCAATTAACCTTGCTAAGCCAAAATCTGCTATTTTGCACACAAGATTTTCCCCTACAAGAATATTTGCAGCCCGGAGATCTCTGTGAATATAATTCATTCTTTCAATATATGCCATACCATCTGCAATCTTGAAAAGAAAAAAAACAAAAACAAATAGGGAGAAGATAATTTTGGTTAATAGGAAGTCAGATTTTTGAAAAATCCTCTACGTTGAAAGGAGATAATGGAAACAATAGTAAGCACTGTAATTAAGAATAAAACAAACAAAAAAACAGGCTAAAGAGCAAATTCAGATTTCCAAAACTAAACGGCTAAGATTTTCATCCTGTCAGCACATCCAGTCACCATTAGAGGCATCATGATCAAGTGTCTTCAGTCAGTAGTTACAAAACAAGCCAAACAGTTACTTCGTGCCTCTGGTCACAACTCTATGAACGTCCATGATGGTGGCAGTGTGCCGTGGAGTCATTTCCGACTTAGCAACCTTGCATAGGATTTCTGAGGCTGTAAATATTTATGGAAGCAGAAAGCCTCATTTTTCTTCCACAGACCACCCAGTGGACTCAAACTGTTGACCCCGTGGTTGGCAGACCAACGTGTAACCCACTACGCTACCAGAACTCTTTATCAAGGTCCATATTAGGCAATAATCTGATCTAAGAGTGTCCTACTGATAAAGATATTAATCATAATTGTTGTTATTGTTATTAAGTGCCAGTTTAAGTGTCCTCCAACTGGTTCTGACTCACAGTAACCCTGTATAGGGTTTACAAGGCTTTAAATTTTTGCAGGAACAGAAAGCCTCATCTTTCTGCTGTGGAGTGGCTTGAACCACTGACTTTGTGGGTCACAGTCCAGTTCTTACCCTACAGACCCACTGTGCTCCCAATCATAGTGGTGGTGGTTGTATGCTGGTTCCCACTCAGGACAACCCAGTATAGGGTTTCTGAGGCTGCAAATCTTTACAAGAGTAGAAAGCCTCATCTTTTTCCTGCAGAACAGCTGGTAGTTTTGAACTGCTGATCTTGAGATTAGCAGTCCAACTCGTACCCACTATGCTACCAGAGCTCCTTAGTCATAGAGTAGAGGTCAGGAAACTAGAGCTTGCTGGCCAAATCTGGCCTATAGTCTGTTTTAATATGGCAAAGGAACTGAAAGTCATTTTCACATTTTTAAAGAAAAGAAAAATAAAGAAGACAGGAGCAAAAGAGAATAATGAAGTAAGAAGAAAGAAAGGAGGATGAAGGTAAGAAAATAATTATTATTAATAATATAAAACAAAACTATTTATGATCACAAAGCCTAAGTATTTGTTTATCTGGCCATTTACAAAATGGAGTGCCAACCCCTACACCACATGGTGCATAAGAATCTAGAACTCAGGAGCAGAGATCAGGCCTAGCTACATACAGTTTCTCAGCACAGTTTCTTTAAACTAGCAGATTCTGTGAATATTTGGATACCCACCAACAGATAAGCATTTGACAGGTAAGTCAAAAAGTATTGCAATGAAATCACAGAAAACTTTATATTAAACAAAAATATTAAAATATGACATATCCTCTGTCTAGGACTATATACTTCTTGGTGTTTCCGTCTCTCTATTCCTTCCCTGATGAATTCTGCATTCCACAATTTATATGTTACAACAATAGTTTTGACATCCTTGAACTACTCAAATTATGTTCCTTTCAACTGAATTTGGGTGATAAAATAGAAGTCCAAAGGAACAAAACTAGGGCTGTAGGGTGGATGAGGTAAAGTTTCCAAATGAAATTATCCCTTGCAACCTCAAA